TGGTGATGACTAGCTGCATTCCCTTTAGTCTCACACTGCTAAATTAGGGACGGCTAGCACAGATAGCCCTCGTGTAGTTTTGCGCGAAATCCATAACAAACAAACAAATATTTCTATAATTATTTAAAACAAGACTAAATTTCTCAATTTTATATAAATCCACGATTTATATATATTTCTGCGTATTGTTTTGTTGCGTTACCTGGAAGAACTTCAGTGATAATATACCGAAATTTGTTTTTTAATCTCTGTATAAAAGTTGAAAGTTGTACGTTACTTAACCAATTTTTCTGAATTTTATATTTTAACAGGGAAGGGAGAAAACCTAGTGTAAATTAAACGATTTAACGATTGTAAATTGAAATGTTAATAATTTTTCCATGTGTCTATAGGATGAAATAACGTTCTCAATTTTGAAGCAACAAGGCTTAGAGTGCAGCGGAGAAATGCTGGTAGAAATCTGTTTTGGGTCAGTAATAAATTGTCCACCAGCGGAAATCCTGAAGGCTTATAACGCTACAATCCGGGTTTCGATACTCTTGGTGGACACAGCACAGATAGTCCATATAGCTTTGCGCTTAACAACAAGCACACTTTAATGAGTTTTATATTATTGCCAGGTTTATTGAGATGTAATACTAGTAAATTAGAAAAGTTTAGAAAATTATACATATTAATTAACTACGAAGTAATTTGAAATTGCACAACTCATTCGCATTCCTGGAAATTTTATTCGAAGTAGTTGGAGAATTAAAAGCTTGATGGAACATGTTTTTCTTGGCATTCTGTATTTCACGTAATTATTGGATACTATAATTTATTGTGAGTGACTTGATTGACCAAAACAAATAAAAGGTAATAAATGGAATCTTTTAATCGTAGAATTACCGATGGGATCCGTATATCTTCAATCAACGTTTTAAACGGATTTTTCTAAACAAGTCACGTACCAACTTGTTCGTGGGTCTTTGTTGGTTACAAAGTTCTTAATAATATGTGAGTCACACAAAAAGTGCAAACAAAATACCATCAATATCACAATTAATATCATTAATTACAGCTGGAGTATCCTATTGATCTTTGTGTTTATTTAAAGAAAAAGTGAGTTTTGTAACAAGTAAAAACATAAAATTACTCAATATGATACAATATATGGATGCGAAGAAACAAGACAGCAATTTTACGGGTAAATCAAATATAAAATATTTTAAATTTTTTACTGAAGGTGTCACTCATTTCTCGAATTATACCGAGCCCTGACTGGTTTGTTGGAGTGGACAGTTTTGAGTTGTGTGTGAACGGAAAGTGGCTAGACACCACTACTCTCGATGTTGGCCCTGTAGACGCTGGCACTGAAAACGGATTTACTTTCACTGCCCCAACATGGCAGACAGAACCCAGAAGGAAGATTTCCCGAATCACTGCTCGCCATCCAAATCACGCTGCCAGTTCTTTCTATTACCCTCAACAGAAGAAGCTCCCAAGAATAGCTTACTTCCAGTTCACCAAAATCAGAACCTACAGTCTGACGGAAGCGTTTTCTCACAGTGAAGAGCACTCCGTTGCTGAATCGGAAGAGGTGGAGGATAAAGAAAAAGAATCGGAAGAATCAAAGAAAGAGGGTGCAATATTTAAACAACTGGAGATGAATACTGTTGGCTACGAAGGGACCGTAGGGGGTTTTCGAATCAAGATTATGGAAAATGCTGATGGAGAAGAAACCACAAAATATTCCAAAAAGCAGAGTCGAACTAGAAAATTGAGAAAGTCATTGAAGAAGAAAAGAAGGTTCCGAATTCAAGCTGCGTCACATCGTACATCAGAGAGTAAGTATATTCATATCTCCTTTTTTTAATTTTTTCATGTCTTTGGAAGTTAAGTGAACCATGAGATACAATTTCTCTCTGGTATAAACAGATACGAACTACTTATGTTTAAAAAGTTTGTTGACATGCCGCTGTTTGTGTTATTCATTACAGTATTGCGATATATAAATAAAGATCCGGCCTTAAAGAATATCAGACCTCAATCGAAATTAGTGTTGTTGTTTCTATGTGGATATTAAGAATTGATCATATACATAAGTATTTTGAAAGATCCTCGTAGACTTGTGTATTTTAACATTTTTGAAAGAATGGCTATGGGGGTCTTAAACTGTAAATGAATATATATGTGTGTATCTTTCTATCTATCTATTATATATATATATATATATATAAATGATATCTCACAGGTAGATCTCGTCCCTGCATGGTCAGCTACTGGTCAAATTGGTCATCTTGCAGCCAAACCTGTGGCTTTGGTAGAGTCGCCCGCACAAGGAGAGTAATCAAGCACGCGAAACCAGGAGGATTACCTTGTCCTCTCTTGCAAGAAACACAGTGGTGTCGAGACACTAGAAACTGCCCTGTAAAAAATAAACAATATTTCTTATGGTAAGAAACAAGGTAAATTTTACAAGTTCTAATACCCTTTACTTCATATCCTGAAGACTTCGTTACAGCGTTGTAAGAACATCGTTGCAACAAAATACTACTCACGTTGTACAACTCTCTTCATGGCGTTATGTCACGTCGTAAAACTCTTTGTGGCGTTATGTCATGTCGTAAAACTCTTTGTGGTGTTATGTCATGTCGTAAAATTCTCTTCATGGCATTATGTTACGTCGTAAAACTCTTTGTGGCGTTATGTCACGTCGTAAAACTCTTTGTGGCGTTATGTCACGTCGTAAAACTCTCTTCATGGCGTTATGTCACGTCGTAAAACTCTCTTCATGACATTATGTTACGTCGTAAAACTCTTTGTGGCGTTATGTCACGTCGTAAAACTCTCTTCATGGCGTTATGTCACGTCGTAAAACTCTTTGTGGCGTTATATCATGTCGTAAAACTGTCTTCGTGGTTTATGTAATGTCGTAAAACTGTCTTTGTGGTTTATGTCACGTTTACAAACTTTCTTCGTAGTGTTATTTCACGTCGAAAAATTGTTTTCATACTGTTATGTGCGTTCATAGTGAAACGACGAATTTTCTTTTATATAAAAACAGCAAATTTTGTTATTGATTACTTATTGTAATTTATTTGTTATATGAATCAGAATCATTTTACTCCAAAAATTATTTAAATGCATTCACAAAATTGAAACATTTAAGATCTATGTATAAATAAGTCTGTTAAACTGAACTTTTAATAATTTTCTTTCCAAGCTCCAGCTTATTTTCTTATCTTTGTTTATCCCAGTTTTTCTTTAAAGGTTATTTTTCCTTAATAGATTCAAGTGTAAGCGAATTTGTTTGAAATGTATCTACACATCAGACTTATATAATTAACATTGTTTTTGTGTCTCTTTACTAGAACTTTCTTTGATATTTCTTACATTGAAATTTTCCATTTATAACCATTAGGTTTTATTTTGTACGTTCCAAAAATATAAAGTCATAACCAATGACATTCAATGTGTATTTGCAGTATTCAAGAAATTAATTTAGTTTTGAATAAATGTTAAATAAACAGTTAAAAACGTTTCTCGGTGGACATTTTTTTTCTATTCATAGATGCAAAATATTCATCTTTCTAGTCACTGATTTTATTATTATCATTCTTTAATTCTTGTCATTGAACTGAAACTTAGCTCTCCTATTGATTTTGATTTGTTTTGTTTTTTTCGGTTTAGTGTTAGTTTGTTTGTTTTTAATTATGCACAAAGCTACACAAGGGCTATCTGTGTTCTGCCCACCACGGGTATCGAAACCCGGTTTCTAGCGTTGTAAGTCCCCAGACAGTTTAGTGTTAGAAAAATCCTTTTAAAAAAAAGTCCTGTAAGCCATCTAGTGATCATAAATATATTTATGTGAATTAATCCAATATGTTAATATCCTGGAAAGAGGTAACAGGATTATATAGACAAGTTACAAAAGGTATATGATCAAAATCGATATTTAGTAACTGATATAATCTTGTTGTCTTTCGATAACTGTATTACATAGCCAAGCAGGTATAACAATACAAGCAATTGGCATTATTAGTTACAGAAAGACTTAAAAGTTTTTAAAACCGAGGCAAAATGAGAAGCTCAAGAAGACCACGTGATTAGTAGTTGAAACTGGTAATTTAAAATCAACTTAAAGTGATGAATGATGAACAATTACGTAAAGTTCGTTCTTAACTGACATAGTATAAAGTCACTGTTAACTGGAACACGCAGTCACACTCACGATAAAGGTGGCAAAGAACACTAGGTTAAATCCATGTTATAAATTCCCACCCCCCACCACCCTACTGTTAAAAACTTTCTACATCCCGAAGTTATCTTTAACTATAGTGTTGTCTTTTACTAGACCACGTGCTTCGAGTATGAGAATAAAATGAAGAATTTATGTTGTTCACAACCTGCTAATGCCAAACGTGTTCCAATTGTGTTTACACCTCAACTTGTGTTATATAATTTCATTAGATATTGTTGTAACGGATTTTATTTGTCGGTAAAAAGTCCAGTCCACTTATATGTAACAAACTATTTATTCCTTTGACTTTAACAAATCAATTTATACAGGTTGTGTTAGTTGATATGAATACCTAACAAATAAAAAATTTAACACCCACTCACTTCTTAAATCTTCTCTTATATCTTCAATACAACACAAAATTGGTTGCTTAACGCATAGTGTAATCGATTAATACTAGAACAGATTCATTAACTGACTAAAGTTCCAATCAACTCTTTATGAATAAATATCTAACCAACTATCGAACAATTTTATCTGGTTTCTAAATATTATTACATATTTTTCACCAAGTGTTTAGAAAATTCGAGACGTTGTGTGCTCGTAACGTGATGCCAATTCTAAAAATCAAAAACTATCTAGACGTCACATTCTGTCATTACATCATGATAAAACTCCCTCTACCAAACAAAACATTCAAAGTTAAATACTAAAAAACATAGCTTAAAGCAATACAAAGACCCGTTTCCTACGCTTAAGAGCTCATTGGTTGTATAGAGGTTAATCTGTACTTTCTGTGGTGGGTGTAAGTCAAGTCAACGATTCGTATGTATAAAAGAACATCTACAACCTCGTGCCCAGATGCAATGCAGTGTCTTCCATTACCTTGACTACGTTGCAGTTAGGAGTGAACTTGCCAGTAATAAAGTGAATTTCAATCAGTCTACCTATGAATGCAGTCTCACTTACTTTCGTCAGTTGGCAGATATCTTATATTAGTATATCATTAGCTGAATAGATTGTTTTTAGCTTAATTTCCAATTCGTTTTAGTATCACGATAAATTTTAAATAATGATATTCTGACAAGTATTGAATGAAAAACCTCACGTGACATTCCTTTTCATTTAGCGAAATCAACAAAGCCGCTAAACTGAAAAATCAGGAATCAAGAAGGGGGGGGGCAATTAAATGATGCTAGTGACATCTAATTTTTCCATTTTATTTTACAAGTATTCTAATTATATTGAAGATATTATGGTATTTAAGAATATGTTGATGTATCCGGATTTTGGAACTTATTACATTTTAAAACTTAATACATGTTATAATTTTGCATTTGTCTCTAATAAACTGTTTTTGTAACTTTTTAAACCCTTTGAAAATGAATAGAATAATCGTGTATTAAAGAACAAAAAAATAAAGAATACTTTACCAGAAAAAAATTAAAATGTTACTAGGTTTTGTTTATTTAGTGAAGTACACCAAGTACCTGCTAATAGTTATTAATGTTACTAGGTTTGTTTATTTAATGAAATACACCAAGTACCTGCTAATAGTTATTAATGTTACTAAGTTTTGTTTGTTTAGTGAAGTACACCAAGTACCTGCTAATAGTTATTAATGTTACTAGGTTTTGTTTATTTAGTGAAGTACACCAAGTACCTGCTAATAGTTATTAATGTTACTAGGTTTGTTTATTTAATGAAATACACCAAGTACCTGCTAATAGTTATTAATGTTACTAAGTTTTGTTTGTTTAGTGAAGTACACCAAGTACCTGATAATAGTTATTAATGTTACTAAGTTTTGTTTATTTAGTGAAGTACACCAAAGTACCTGCTAATAGTTATTAATGTTACTAGGTTTGCTTATTTAGTGAAGTACACCAAGTACCTGCTAATAGTTATTAATGTTACTAGGTTTTGTTTATTTAGTGAAGTACACCAAAGTACCTGCTAATAGTTATTAATGTTACTAGGTTTTGTTTGTTTAGTGAAGTACACCAAGTACCTGCTAATAGTTATTAATGTTACTAGGTTTTGTTTGTTTAGTGAAGTACACCAAGTACCTGCTAATAGTTATTAATGTTACTAGGTTTTGTTTGTTTAGTGAAGTACACCAAGTACCTGCTAATAGTTATTAATGTTACTAGGTTTTGTTTGTTTAGTGAAGTACACCAAGTACCTGCTAATAGTTATTAATGTTGTTTTAAATGCTGATCTTTTATTTTGTATACACTTTGAAAGGATTTCCTGCAAACAGACAAAACATCACATTTTTTTCTAACTTATTTATTTGAAGGTCACTTTCCAACAAGCAAGTTTTATTGTATTTTAGTAATGAACTTACACATATATATATGAAGCCTGCTGTAACTACTTGGAACTTGTTATCAACATAATCATTATACATCACGAACTTTACTAAATACTGATTTGGTTACAAACCACAACTTATACTTTTTCATTTTCAATACGAGTGTTATTTTTATTTAGATAATTTCTTTTTTACAGTTATTAAAACATGCATAGAAAAGCAACTTTTATATCCTGTATGATATTCATTAAAAATTCAACACAAACACGGAAGGTATAAATAGTTAAGTTTCTGATGGAAGATCTTTTATAGATTACTTAAGTTTCTGATGGAAGATCTTTTATAGATTACTTAAATTTCTGATGGAAGATCTTTTATAGATTACTTAAGTTTCTGGTGGAAGATCTTTTATAGATTTATTAGAACTGTTTTTTTTTTCTGATAGCTAAAAAATTTAACCACCCTTATTTATATAACTTTTGCAAACCTTTTAAACGTTTACACTGTTAAAATTTGATTATTGACTTAAGATTTATAATGCTAAAAATCGAGTTTTGATACCCGCGATGGGCAGCGCACAGCTAGCTCAATCTGTAGTTTTGTGTTTAATAACCTACTTACATATTTTTATTTCTTTACGTTTACAAATACCAAATGAACGACAATAACCAAATTTGTTATATAGTGATTTTATGTGGAACTTTTAATTTGGAACTGATCATTTTCTCTTTATGTTTACGCTAAATAACACGATTTTTTAACATTTATATATTTTATATTTCAAAAGTATTATTTTTAGAAAATATTCGCTGACAGTCACAGTGATGTAATATAATAATACTAATAACGTTCTGCAGATAGGGGTTTCTACGCATATTAGAATATTATCACCGAATATTAGAACGAACAAAGTCAGCAAATAGGGATATAGTAAGTGGCATGATTTTTGTTTCAAAACTAGAGGGCGGTTACGTAACTGGAGCATAAGTATATCGTAAATAAAACTGAATGTTATTTCGACTGATGTAATGACTAGTGGTTGTATAGGATGTCCACAAAGTCCTGTTCCGGTTTTAAAAGTTTATTAGAACAAAACCAAAAGAGCTAGAATTATGCAGTTTTTAGCACCTTGTTGACTAACTAATGAAGTTGTTTTCTTGATTTACAGATTGTAATCGGAGTGTCCAGCTGCTACAGAATGAAGTTTGAACAAAGATGGCGACTACATAGAAGAAAGCTCAATGTGTGTGCACTATATGCGCGTAAAGATGAAATATTTTGTGTAGGACTCTGTGTGGCATTAATATTGGTAGCTGGAGTTCAATTGAAGCATGACGAACAGACAGACTTTCTAGGGTTGCGTTGGAATGTCTCCAGGACATTAGCAATGCTTTCTTCAGAAACACCTGGACGTCCACTTCGAGGCAAGTCAACCACACTTCCTGTCCCCCGAAACTTGAGAAACCACCTTCTAATGTTGTGTTTGGAGGGAGGATCCTTGCCATATTGACGGCGGGATTTCCATTGAACCGTTGTAACTGATATCGACTCTGCAAACCAGATGACGCATTGAGCTTTCTCCTGTGTAGTCGCCATCTTTGTTCGAACTTCAGCCATTAGCAATTGGACACTACGATTACAAGATAAACTTCATTAGTTAATCAACAAGGTGCTAAAAACTGCATAATTTTAGCTCTTTTGGTTTTGTTCTAATAAACTTTTAAAACCAGAACAAACTTTGTGGACATCCTATACTACAAAGTTATTTCAAAATAAAAGTTTCCCCGTCAGTTAGCCTCCAGTGGCACAGCGGTATGACTGCAGACTTACAACGCTAGAATCCGGGTTTCGATACCCGTGGTGAGCATAGCACAGATAGCCCATTGTGTAGCTTTGAGCTTAATTACAAACAAACCCTGTCATTTAAAAAGTGAAAAGACATATCCCCCGCGTTCCTCTTGTAATGCATCTAGGTGGGAATGTTGAACAAAGTAGTTTAATCGCACATAGTGTTATAAGTTTGATATACTTCTTCTTAACCCTTAACGGTTTTAAACCTAAATCGTTATATCATAATTAACTCCAAGATTACTGATGTATTTGGTTCCCATCGGATTTTAAGCTTAAAATAAAAATACCACCACTATTGATGTTAATTCCTATAATCAATGTTTAGATCCCCTGTATATTTGACATAGAAAACTAATGATGTTACTTAATTGTTTTTGTTATTTCTCGACAAACGGGTGTTGTATAGGCGTAAGATCACTCAATATGATACAATATGTGGACCAGGCCGGTAGTAAACGTTATAAAAACAAATCTAAATTAAGGCTTAAAGCAACGGATTGATAATAAATGAGAAAGCATAGTTAAAACTGGCGCACAAGTTTCTCAGAAACGAAAGTTGCACATAGACATTTTGTTACTGACTAAAATCAAAAGTTAGTTACGAATAACAAATATAGAAACTGTGGTTGTTTTTGTTTAATCAGTCCAAAGAAAAATCTGGATGTTTTAGAAAATTTTCTGAATAACCATTTCTTTCTTTGTTTTCTTCGACAGCAAAAAGCAAAACGTTATCAATGTTAAGCGTAAAAGGAGAGGTGATGGGATAAACGTGACATTCTCAAGGTTCTGTAATTGCTGGTATGCAAGCGATAAGAAGTACATTAGATAAACTTTTAGATGCTAGAATAGAAGCGATAAGACGTACATTAATTAAACTTTTACGTGCTAGAATAGAAGCGATAAGAAGTACATTAATTAAACTTTTAGATGCTAGAATAGAAGCGATGACAATGTACATTAATTAAACTTTTACGTGCTAGAATAGAAGCGATAAGAAGTACATTAATTAAACTTTTAGATGCTAGAATAGAAGCGATGACAATGTACATTAGTTAATCTTTTAGGTGCTAGAATAGAAGCGATAAGAAGTACATTAATGAAACTTTTAGGTGCTAGAATAGAAGCGATAAGAAGTACATTAATTAAACTTTTAGGTGCTAGAATAGAAGCGATAAGAAGTACATTAATTAAACTTTTATATGCTAGAATAGAAGCGATAAGAAGTACATTAATTAAACTTTTATATGCTAGAATAGAAGCGATAAGAAGTACAATAATTAAACTTTTACGCGATAAGGGGGCGTGTATGAAAACCATTAATTAACAGCTCCAAGGCTAGCTGATGTTTTCATAAACTTCTTGATACCAAAATTCGTTGATATCATTCTACGAATATATAAATGAACGAAAAGAAGAAGGCAATATATATATATGTCAAATACACTGCATCTATTGTATTAAGTGCAGACAATGTTAACCATAATTAATATATAGTAGCAGCGCTCTGTGCAGGGATTTTACTATATTGTACATTCTTAATGAACTTGGTTTATTTATTGTATTTATGGGTTCAGTTTGAAATTTCCTAATTTGGGTTTTCGACCTCACATTGTAATGGACTAAAATAACATGCCGCTGCAAACAGGATGGAACAACAAAAAAATTATTTATTAAACTGTAACAACACACTTGGAATAACGTTTAGCACTTACCAAAAACACAATTAATAAGCAAATGCGTAGCCAGGACTTGATATTCATGTTAATGAACAATAAAACATATATTAATATTAATTATTTCAAATATTGGAATCAGGAAAAGAACCCGAAGAAGAAATAAACCTAATTCCAAAAACAACAACAACAGCACAATATTCCAAAATCACTTTTGTGTATTAATAACAATATACAGTGACGAAAAGCAATAATTCACTAACTATGTTGCTCACTAACTAGCTCGTGACTCAGTTTATGAAGCTTACAGCAGGGAATTTATTCTCTGCGTTAGGTCACTAGAGTACATCTCATGTGATCGTAAATTTACATAATCTTTTGCTATATTAATAATATCTGTACGTCACTGGTAGGGAAGCTGATTTCAGTTTTATAATACATATATATTTACTCAAAATAAACATGATCAGCTACAAGGTGAATTAGCATTTAAATCTGACTAAAATTCGTAGATAAACTAAATAATAGAAGGAATAGTAACTGCACAATAAACAAAACCACAAGAAAAAATAGAATTCGCTATCTCACAACTTCTTCCTTCACATAATTGGTTGAACTTATGAACTTAGTCAAAAGAGAGAAAGAGGATAGGTAGCTGATCATAGCTCTATAGCTAGTAGGTTTTTAAAATTATATTTATATCAAAAACTGAGTATTCACTTTGCTCTGTGAATGTAACAAATTATACAAAAACCTAGAATAATTTATTTCAGGATTAAAGTTTGTTAAAGCTGATGGTATGATTCATGTTCGTTTTATGCCTGGAGAATAGATGAGGGAAGACTGTCTTTTCCATAGGGAACACGCAGAAGGTGGTGCAGTACACCTTTGGGCAGTTATTCATCATGGTGGAAACACTGATCTTCATAACCTCCAGAGAAATGTCAATGGCGCCTCTTACATGCACCACATGGAGATGATATTTCTGATAACTTCTAGGGCAATGTTTAGCAATAACTTTGTGTTTCAGGATGACAATGCCACTGCCCACAATGCACATATTGTACAGGATTATCTGGACCAGGAAAATGTTACAAGATTGCCATGACCAGCATAGTCTCCAGATTGTAATCCCATTGAGAACTGTTGAGCAGAACTGAGCCGGAAAACTGCTGACCACAACCCTAAACCATCTACTGTAGCTGAGTTACAATGCCTTCTAGTGACAAGTTGGGATAAAATCACAGTGGATTATATCAATAACTTGATCGATAGCATGCCACGTCGCCTTGCAGAGGTTATTAGAGTACGAGGAGGACCAACCAAGTACTGAATGTTTAATTTGAACTGATATGAGGTTACAGACACAATTAATAATAATTTGATGTTATATTTTGCCATTATATACGTTTTGGTAAGGTTTTGTTGTGATAGGCGAAATTTGGAATTACAAATCTTTATACACATCTTCATGATGTCCTTAGAACCCGTCTCATTATACAAATTACACATGTAGATTTTTAATATAACATTCATTTCTCAGTTTGACAGCACTAAGCACATTTGTATTCAATCTAAATAATAATTATCTTATTTGTTACAAAGTATGTAAATATTTTGGCTAAGACTGTATTAAAGTCGTATATTATTTATTTGTTTGTCTTTTGTGTGTGTGTGTGTGTGTGTTTTTTTTTTTGCTTTTGTTGGTGTTAAGTACAAAGCTACACAATTGCCTATTTGTGCTGTTTTCACCACGGGTATTGAAAACTGATTTTTAACGTCATAAGTGAAATGATCTGCCACTGAGCCACTTAGAGCATATTGTATAATAGCCGTAAACATTGCCTTGTCTTGAAGCTGCATGTAAGACAGGTATCGTAACATATAATTAGTATACTAAGTCGTCAAGAAATTAATATCACTTTTTTTGTAGTTGAAAAAAACCCGAACAACTTATAAATCGAAACAAAACATTTATTAAATGAAATAGTCTCCATTCTTATCGATGATGCTTTTCCATCCTACAATCAGGCTCTTAATGCCCTGACTAAAGAAATCATTTAGCTTTGAAGCAAAAAACATGTCGATGTCCTCTTTAACACCTTCCACATTTGCATAACTTTTCCCTTTAAGAGGATGTTGCTGGAGAATATGGTGGGTGGGGGAGAACTTCCCAACCCAACTCCATAATCTTCTGTTGCGTCAAACGTGCCACATGTGGACGTGCATTGTGGTGGAGAAGAAGAACACCTTTCCGATTGACAAGTGAAGGGTGTTTCTGATGAAGGGATTTAAACATTTCGGTTGCTAACTATAGATCTCTGCATCGACAGTTCGCTGTGGATTGAGGAGTTAGAAATGAATTACTCCGTTGATGTCCCACCAAATACAAAGTATCACTTTCTGTGGATGGAGTCCAGGTTTTGGGGTTGGTAAGTGGTTTTATCTAGGACTGAGCCATTGTTTTGGTCGTTTAAGTTACTTTTTCATTCTTATTTTCTTATTTTTTACTATTCTACCGGTGT